ATACCCCAAAGGAAAAAGTTCTTCCTCTCTCTCTCCTCTCTCTCTCTCTTTCTTTCTCTCTCTCTCTCTCTTTCTCTCTCTCTCTATCTGTGTGTGTGTATGTGTGTCTCTCTGTGTGTGTGAGTGTGTGTGAGAGAGAGAGAGAGTGAGTGTGTGTGTGTGTGTGTGTGTGTGTGTGTGTGTGTGTATGTGTGTGTTCAAGTTTGTTCATATGAAATGATAAGGTGCCTCAATCAAACTCAGAGCTTGCAAATAGTACTACTTTTACTGATTACTATGTTCTGGAAATCCCCATCTCTGCATTTCTGAGTTTATAATTATAGGTAGGTCACTTGGAAAACAAAACTCCCTTTGTCATGCTTGCCTGGAAAGTACGTTATCTGTTGAGCCATTCCTGTAGCCCCTTAATACATTATCAAAATATTTTGAGCTTCAAAATGAAATTAGCAATTAGTAAAACTTTCTGGCCTGAGGAGATAGTAGGGTCAGTAAAGCTCTTAATGTACAACCATTAAGACCTGAGTTCAATCCAGAGAACCCACATTAAAAAGTTGGGCATGGTGACACATGCTGATAACACTGGCAATACTTAGGATGTCAGAGGTAAGTAGGTCCTTGAGGCTTGCTGGCAACCTGCTATAAACAAATCAGTGTGAACTAGGCTAGTGAGCCAACCTGTCACAAAGCACATGTGAACACAACCTGAGGTATAACATTCAAATTAGTCCTCTCACCCTGCACATGAAAGTGCATGCACGCAAAACCACATGCATGCATGCCATATACTGCAAAAAATTACAAGGAGCACTTTACCTCACATGTGTTTACAAAGTGCAATAGAGTTCTGGAAACATAACCCAAAATAAATTAAAATATTTTTGGCCTGAACTCAGGCTGATTTTTGGCAAATGTGTCAATTTGTATGACTCTATGCATTACTTCCTTTTATTTCTCTTGTTATCTCCAGTAACTGTTCTTTCTCGGGACTGGATACCATGCCCTCTCAACTACATCTACCCTTTTCTTGAAAAAGACTCACCACTTCCCAGGTTACCCTCACTGCACACAAACAATCCCTAAACCACCCTTGACAGACACCTGCAAGCCAGGAAGACAATCCCAGCTGTCATGCCAGGTATCAAAATGTTTTAGGGCTCAACTGCTGGCTCTTGCTTCCTTTATTCTTTGAATCCTGAAAACAGATGACTGTTGAAATTTAGACATTTAGTGTAACCTCCTATTACACAGATAGCTTTACTCTTAACTTAATGGACAATGATGGTTGTAATATCTGCTTTTAATAGGTTCTTGGATTGAAATCATATTCACCTTCAGTGGAAAGTGAAGAGAAATAATTGATCAGAGAATTTGGACATGGAAAAGAAGAATGGTTTATGACATCTTAAATTGAGGAATTCTGGTGAAATGCCATTAGAGAATTAATTTTTAAACTGTGTGAGCTCAAACATTAAGAAAGAACATATCCTTTTTTAGGATCACCAGCCTATAATTCACAACCCCAGAGGAACTAGGATACAAGGTGTATTCTAAGAGAGTCATATAAAGTCCCTCATAGAACCGGGAAGGGACAAGTCCCCCAGAGCACAGGGGAAGTGAGGGGGAGCAGTGAATGGAGAGAGAAGTAGGAGAAAATGAGGGGGAGAAAAGGAAAACATGTGCAACCAGGAAGATTGAGCCTGGTTAGGAATAGAAGACAGGAGAGAGAGAGAAAGAGAGAAAGAGAGAGAGAGAATACAAAAGAGGGAGCCAATATTGGTTTGAAGATAAAATTGAACACAAAGAAAGGTCTAGAGAACTACAAGACTGCTGCCAACTAACAATTTGAGCTTCCATGGAAAGGCTACCATAAATGCCCTTACCGGAGAGTGAGATCAACAACTAACTTATCCATGGAGCCCTCATCTAATGCCTGAAACAGAGTACGAGGTGATCCTACATTCAAAACAGCTGGATAAAGCAGCCTTGCAGACTACAGGCAAGATTTGTGCATCGTCTTAGAATCCCCCATGACAGCATCCCTTACCAGCAGGAAGTTGTTTTGAAAGAATGAAGCCCAAATTCCCAAATATTGTTTATAAATGTTTGTTTTCATTTAAATGGACTTGGTTATATATAAAAAAGAAAATATCCTTTTTTAATTTTTTTCTTATTTTATATATCAAACCCAGTTCCCTCTTCCTCCGTCCTTCCCTCTCTCCCCCCATCTCATGCCTCTCCCTGGCTATCCTCTCATCCCATTCCCCCCACTACACAGGGAGGGTTTAGCCTTCCAGGATGAGTCAATAAAATCTGTCAAGTCATTTGGAGTAGGGAATAGGCCCTCCCTCCTGCCTCTAGGTTAAGGGTATCCCTCCATGGAGAATATGCTCCCAAAATCATTTTTGCACCAGGGATACACCCTGTTTACACTGGCAGAGCTCCCTTCGACTTTCCAGGCCTTCTATCTGGGACCCATGTTCAGGGGATCTGAGTCAGTCTGATGCTTGTTTAAGTCTGGCGGCCCATATGCTCCTCCTTGTTCAGGTCAGCAGTCTCTGTGGGTTTCTGTAGCCTGGTCTTGTCCTCCCTCTCTGCATCTGGATTCTAGTTTGGCCCAGTGTTTAGCTGTGGGTGTCTGCTTATGTTTCCATCAGCTACTACATGAGGGTTCTATGATAGTGAATAAGTTAGTCATCAATTTCATTTTCAGGGAAAGGCATTAAAGGTAGCCTTTCCACTGTTGGGGTCAGTCTTGTAGGTCTCTGGACACCTATAGTGGCTCCCTTTTTTATGGTATCTCTCTCTCCTTTCCTTGTCCTATCCTCCCCTGACTCAATCTTCCCGGTCCCACATGCTTTCCTCTCCTCCCCTTCTCTAAGAAATAAAATATCTTGAAAGAGATTCATATTTCAACTTTTGGCCATCTACATAATTTTTATATTTTCTATTGATGGCTATTATGTTGATGAAATCATAGCATAACTTAATATTCCATCATGTGACTAATATTTTCTCACATACCTTTGTTAAAAAAAACATTGCTGAAAAATAACTTGAAATTATTCAAGTGAGGAATTATTTACCTAACACTGAAATAAGTTCAGTTTGAAAAATTTATCCACCTTATAGAGCTATAAATTACACTGCTTCTATTAAGCACTTGTTAATTATGTGCATTATACTGAAGTGAAACAAAATATCTGCTAAGATTATCATAACCTTTCCTAAATGATCTCTGAATGATTGAAAGTATAATGGTTAAGCTTAGTAGGTTACCACTAAATTCCAAGTGATATGTCTGTAATTGTTAAAGTTATAAGGGCAGTATTATATAATCAATATTATTCTAAAATAATACCCACTAGGCCAAGTTAATAGCAACATACCTTGAGTTAAGCTACTAGGAATTCCTTCACGATGCAAAGAAAATGTGTTAAGACTCAGAAGCCAGGCATGGTGGCACATGCCTATTAATCAGCACTTGAGAATTCAAAGCAGGAAAATCAAGAATTTAAAGCTTACATTGACTGTGTGAGACTTCATCTCAAAAAAATGAATTATAAAATTTAAAAAGAAAAAACTATGTGACCTTACAACACTATACCACCCCAGATTGCTATAATACCTACTTTTGTCAGAATAGTATATTGACAAGATGACATAAGTGAAAGTGTCTGAAATTGCACCTTAGTTAACAAAGTATGTAGTAGAAATGCTAGAACAAACCAAAATAAAACAAAATCTAGAGATAATAAATTTTGTGCGGTGGTAGGCATTCACGTGTAATATTTTGAAAATATCATATACAGGTTTACAGTATACTGAGATACCCACAGGTCTAGTCAACACCTTTGCTAGGCAGCAACCTACTGATGTTTCCTGTATAGACAATGTTCTTGGATGACCTGTAGGGGGATGCAAACAAGCTTAGTGGGACTGAGGACATATAGCTTTGGTACAGGTACAAGACAGACCACTGCTGTGCCATCTTTGAGACTTCTGAATTTTACTTGAGTTTGGGGTTGCATGCATTATACAGACCATTCAGTGGATTAAACCTACTCCTAAGAAAACAAGACTTTGGCAATTAACTTAATTGAAACAAAATAAATACTGGAGGAAATGGATTTAGATATCATACATCAGCTGTAGCTATAACAGTAGCCCTTTTGGTAGTGACTGACACTAACAAATAAAATGAACAAAAGAAAATAACCAAACAAACTTGACACAATTAATATAAAATTTATCAGACCTAAGAATTCACTCAAAGGAAAATGAAAACATAATCTCTTCTTGAGTTTAACTTTTTTTGAAGGAAGATTTCTAAAAGGTGTGTCTAGAGTATTAGAACAAATCATAAAATTCTCAAGCTCCTCAATGATAGGACCATTATCTGAGGAAACAACTCAATTAATGCAATGTGATGAGCTTCAGCATCTGCTTGAGTACCACTTTTACAATGTTTGTGATGTGCAAGTACTGTTAAAGTATATCAATGTCTAGTATACTGACCAGAAAGTGTGTTTACTATGTTGTAAACCATAATATCACATTGTGCATGTGAATTAGAAATAATGTAAGAAGCCAAAAGAACAAATTTGATTGTTTTTGTGAAGCAAAAGGGTATGACTTCGTAAAGATATCTAGGTAGCTTTCTTGTGACAGTTGCTAAGTTTCATAGTAAAAGTTAAAAATGCCATACTAATATAACATGAAGGTAGGAAGCCTGAGTTAATGTATATGGACTTTCTTAAGAGAATACATGTAAATATGTCAGGATATATTCCTGTGTAGAAAGTGTTACATCTTGCAAACATTCAAGCCCAAGAACATAATTTCCACTGTAACATTTGTAGTATCTTAGCAGTGATGTGAAGATGGAAAATATGTCAGAATTGTGACAGTCAATAAATACTTCAATTCTATAATAAAATTTGACAGCAGTCTCAGGTAATCAGGTTGGGACAATTTCCATTTATTTGGTTTATTCCTTGTTGTTATGGTCTCCAAGGGTGAGGCTTAGGAGACACTTGATGTTTCAGTTTGGGAAAATCATCAGAATTGTTCACATGTGGAGGACGTGTCGTAGATTTTGCATTACGAAGAACATTTCTTTTCCCAAAATTCTTAGATGTTTTTACACTTATGTGACCAGGGCCACGCTTAATATGCTCCAGCGGAGGTTCACACTTTCCAACAGACAGGAAATGTTTCTCAAGAGTCAAGATATAGTTAATTGCATCTTGTACATTACAAGATGATCCACTCACAATGATGCTAGAATTAGCACAAGTTCCCTTTGAAGGTACACGAATGTCTACATGGAATTGTTCCATGATTTTATGAATGGATTTTCCACCAAATCCAACAATATTGGCACAAACCTGGTGGTTCAGCGGGATTTCCTTGGAAACGGTTTTTTCAATCTTACGCAGCATTGTCATTATTGCATCTCGAGCTCCTAGGATGTTGTCTTTAGAACCCGAAATGGTAATTTGATCTTGTATTGGATTGACTCCTTTCTTTGGAAAATGAACAGTAACATCATATTCTGTGCAAATCTGGGAAATAAGTATACCTTTATTACCAAAGATCTTGGAATGATATTTGGGATCTAAACTGAATGTTTGTCTGAAATTTCTTAATGTCCGGTCATCTATTTCCATTTGTAAAGCTTTTACTTGTTTTTGCAGTTTCATCTTGGCTTGTTCTACATTTGCTTCAAGGCCCATAATAGATATAATATGAAAATTTCCTCCTGGTTGTGATACCTGAATATGAACTTCAAATTCCTTTATTAGCTTGCGTAACCCACTTCCTTTGTGCCCAATGATGTATGGATGTAGATGAAAAGGTACTTGGACTTCAGCAGTGACAGGAACAAGAGACTGCTCAGCTTGCGTGGCCGTCGTGCAATTTTCTGCTTTGCACGAGATAGACATGGTGTCACTCTTTTTTGGAGCAGTTGATACAGGCCCTTTAGTGTTCTTCCCTCCTTTTTCTTTCCCAGTTTCCTGAACCTGTGAATGTATGTTTGTCGTTGGTTTTTCTGTTTCTGGAAATTTGACTTGAACCTTACAATCTCTTGCAATTTGTTGAATTCTAGAGCATATTGGTCCCATGATAAAAGGATGGAATTTTGGAGGAACAACACGTGTTGTGACTTGTGAACCCAATTGTTCAAATATCTCCTGAATACGTTTCTTTGCTGCTTCAACACAAGCCTTTGCTCCTTTTATTGTGACCTTTGTACTCTGTTTTCCTGCATATGAAAAGGTAATAAACACACCACCGTATTCCTTAATTATTTCTCTTAAAAGCTGTCCTCTTTGCATGACAAAGTAATTGTGGAATTTGGGATTTATCATTATGCTGTCCTCCACCACGTTCTCCAGATCTTTCAGTAAAACCTCTACCTCTTTTTGCACATCTTTAACAGCCTTTTCTGTCCCTATGATGGTTACTGATTCTTGATCCTTGTTCTTAAAGGTAGGGAAAATGATACGTGCCCCTGTCTTCTCACAGACCTTATGAAGATTGCCACCATTTTTACTCATAAGAAATTGGTGATATTTTGACTTTACAGGGACAGCCACAGAGTAACTCTTTGCTTGCTCTTCTTCTGCAAGTTGCAGAAGTTTTTTCTTAACCTTTTCAACACTTTCTTCAGGGCCTCTAATAAGGACTTTTTGAAGGCCCAAGTTGGTACTTGGGAAATGAATGTGGACTTTGCCACATTCTGCCATGATAGAACTAATCAAAGACTCTTTAGAATCAGTCAGGGATGTGTGTAGACTAGGAGGAATAGAAATTTCTACTTCAGAAAATTTGGCTGCATTTTTATGCATCAAGAGCATCCAGTTTCGAGTTACTTCATGGTTTTCTGGTTTTCTAACAGTGATATTATTCTCTGAGTTGCAGTTTGATGATGGAAAGTTTACTCTTCCTCTTGAATTCAGGTTGGTAGCATGGTTTCCCCTTTGTAAAGACCTATTAGGATACACAATGTATTGTCTTTTCGAAGTCATTGTTGTTTTCAAGAAGATGCAATCCAGATGTGTTGCAGATCATTCAGCAGCAGCCCCAAGACTAAAAAACCGCTTGTAGTTGTCCTTTACCATATTACTGTATGAGAAAAAATAAATACTTTCAGGGATTATTTATTTCAAAAGTAATCCATAGGATAAAGTCAATAAAATGATTATTAGATTAATTCATTTTCATGAGGATACATTAGAGTTTCATGTATGTACCTATCCTTATATGAGGACAAGGTAAGTTCAAATGAAAAGAATTTTGTGGCAACAATAAAGATATTTTCAAATGAAGTTCATCTTTTAAGTATTCTTACAACATTCATAAACAAGTCTCATTGTTTCAAATGCAGAGTCAATATTTATTTTTTTTGCCTGTACCAGTTGTTTCAAAATAATTATTGCAGAAATATAGTCATCTACATCTCTAAAGATAGTGTGTTTACCAGTGCTTGATATTTTCAGTAATAATTTTTAAAAATACATATATTAGAACTGCAAGTAACTGTCTGGGTCATGAAAAAAAGAGGCATAGAACCATTATGGGGACTAACTGATAAATGGTATATTGAGAGAAATGAGAAGAGTTAAGAATATAACAAGTAGGAAATATAGTAAAGTAATTTAACATTTATGAAAACATTACCATGAAATACAGAATGTATATGTAAAATTAATATATACAGATAAAAGTAGAAAAACTTCATGCAGTCTATGTGTTCAATTTATAGAATTTTAGTAAATTTTGAGTTTACAGGAAGTACCTTTAACTCACTGGAGAAAGCTTCCATTACCTACATGGGTGCCCCATGATCATTTAAAAGAAACCCCCATTTCTACAAGCATATACAGGCAAATAATATATTTTTATTTTTTCATTTAATTTTTTACTTAAATTAAAATGATCTTATTTTAAATACCAAACCCAGTTCCCTCATCCTCCTGTCCTCCCATTTCCCCCACTATCCTCTCCTCAGACAGGGTGAGGCCTCCCATGGTAAATCATCAAAGTCTGTCACATCATTTGGGGGAAGAACTGAGCCTCCCCACATCTAGGCTGAGAGAATATATCCCTCCTTACGGAATGGGCTCCAAAAAGCCCATTTATGCACTAGGGATAAATACTGCTTTCTCTTCCAGTGGCCCATTAGACTGCCCAAGCTGCCCAATAGACACCCAAGTTCAGGGGGAGCTAGTTTTGTCTTGTGCAGGTTCCCCAGGTGGCAGTCTAGAGTCTGACATATATTTTGCCTGATCTGGGAGTTTTAAAATAGTAATATATTTTCTGCCCAGAGGATAAATCTCAATTACCTATTTCAGTACTGTTTTGAGAACCAAATTTGTTGAGAAATAATACTATATTCCCCTTTTAATTCTGAAAAATACTCAATTTCTGTTTATACCAACCTTAAAGAGTGTTCTGACTCATATTCTATATGTATATATATATATATATACATATATATTATCAAATGAATATCGCAGAGTTCCTTGAAACCTATTTCATCCTTTAAATTATTAATATCCATATTTTATTGATTGAACTATATTTGATTTTTGTTGGATTGACTTTTTGAGACAAGGTTTCTCTGCAACATCACTACCTGTCCTGGAACTCACTTTTTAGAACAGGCTTGCCTCAAACTCACAGAGGTCCAGCCGCTGCTCTCTCCCGAGTGCTGGGATTAACAGCATTTGCCAATATAATGCCAGTTTATGAATGTAAACTGATTTCCTAAAACTTGCCAAGTACTTAATGCCACTTTCTTAAATTTAATCTTTCATTTCTCTCATGGTAACAAGTCCTGGCTAAAATTCTTTACCTCCTCTCTTGAAATTTTTCTAATTTACTGAACTACCCCAACTCTTGATTGATCCTTGTCTAATGTATTTGTCTTTTGGGGACCAAATACATTTACACTATATTATAAAATTTCCTTTACTACTTAATGCCTTTTTTTTTAACTTTTAAGAGAGTATCTGTACATTATCTTTCATTTCTTTGATGAAACATGTTTTTAAATGTATCTGTCTAAAGAAATACATAAATTATTCTCATATATATATATATATACTCATTTTAAAATATCATTAAATAAATTTCTGTATACTTTCATCACTTATTAAATATAATTTCTAAATAAGTTTATAGACTCACACTTATTATCTAAATATAAGTAGCAAAATGATAAAGTAATATTGACTGTTTACTAAGTAGCTACATCAACTATGTCAGAAATAGACGTAAGTATAAAGATAAATAATTTCTTACATGAACAGTGTATTTAAATCATTCACTGATTCTCTCCACTCCTGCTAATATCAAGTCTTCTACTTCTTCTCAAACTCATTACATTTTGTTATGCACACACATCAACATATAGTTCATTTAGTATTGCTTATATCATATGTGTGAAATAGAATGTAGTTGAAAGTCAATTATTCTAGCATGTTTTTAATCTTTCAAATCATATTCAAGTCTCAACTGTAACATAACCTTCTAACAAAGGTCATCACTGAAGGGACTAAGGGCATAATCTTTCGCTCTTTTCTCTCTCATCTATATTATTAGTTTCAAGTGACAATTCTACTTTGGATCAGTGATTCCTACTCAAAACTTTCCCTGCCAGAAATCATTATATAAAACATGTTGTCTGTTCATTACGGTATTTGCATCATCTAATAGGACTTGTAACATATTCTAAGTGCTAAAACCTCCCTTTTTGGGATGACATTAAAATTATAATCAAAGGAAAACAATACAAGATAATGTATTTAGCATGAAGTGGCAAGAATATATATTTAGGAAAAAAGTGTAAAAGAGATAAATGTGCATATCAAATTATGGAAAAATAAACCATTTTTTAATTTTGAGAAATATTTAATTATCTATGACATTATTATACTTATGATATAAGCAAGTAATAAAGTTTTAAATAATATTAAGCATTGACTTCCACAATTCTTAGTCTGTCATATTGATACTAACTGACACAAGTTTGGGAACTTAACTGATGAGTAAAACAATCAGTGTTAGGAATGGACTGGAATGAGCAAGAAAGGGATTCAATTGATATAAATTTCAAGTGGCAGAGTCAGATTTATAGCACTTAATAAATAAATACAAATTTGCAAATCCTTTACCAGATGGTTTTAAAACATTGTTTGTAATGCTGGTGATCTAATGCAAAGCTTGGTGAATACTAATGTGTAATAGCCCTAAACCTTAGTGCTTTTTGTCACTAAGCCATAACCTTAGTTCTTAGTTCTTAAATTCTAAGAAGAGAAATACATGTTTAATTTTATCTAGCAACATTCATCTAGATGCTTATACCAAAAGTAGTCTTATAATAAAAACAAATACTTCCATATGCTATATTCAATTTTTCATTGAATAATTTGTGAAAGAAGATAAATTAACATATAAATATAAGGAGATATCAATAATCAAAATATTGAGTTAAAGGTTTTATAATTTTATTGCTTAATATCTATATGTAAGTGAGAATAATATTTAAAAATGAAACAGTTACACATTGTTAGTATTTGTGTGTATATTTATACACAGATGTAGTAAAACTATTTATAGAAGATAATATTAAATAAATGTGTTTGGGATAAGAAAAGTATGTGATATACTCAATACATTAGTTTGTAAAAAATATTGTTAGAATTTTTTGTGATAAAACTTTAAAGAAGCAAATACAAACTGATGAAAAGACTGTGGTTTATGTATTTTAGTATATATAACTACACATACACTTACACACACACACGCACATGCATATGAACACATGTGCTAAATAATAATCAAAATATTGAATAAAAGGGCATATACATTTATAGCTGAATTCATCTCTACATGTAGTTAACATCACATTTGAGTGATTTAAGTGGAAAACTGTGTTACACATTGTCAATATTTTGTGTCTGTGTTTGCACAAAAGTATGAATACATACATATATATGTGTATATATATATACATATATATCCATAAAACATTTATAGTAACAAGACTTACCTATTTATGGGTGATAGTTCTCACAAATTTTCTAACCTGCATCAAGTTTCCTTTGTAAACGGTTTTTGAGACTCTGTATGCAAGGAGAGAGCCTTAGGTAAACTTCATGTCACACAGACTAACACAAACTTTTTCGTAATTGCAAATTCATTTTTTTCTCTCATTGAAAATAGTTTTTCATTCATTATATCCTATATAATATAGTTATATATCCTATATAGTTTCCTATATCCTATATAGTTTCCTATATCCTATATCCTATATAGTTTCCCTTTCCTCTACTAATTCTTCCTCAACATCCCTCCCATAAGAGAATTTTAACATGTGGAAATCATCTGTTATTGTACTTCCCTATTAAAATTTATTTACTTAAAAATTATTAAAATTTATTTACTTAAAATTTATGTGTGTGTATGTTTTGACAAAATGGTTGTCAATGTACCATGTGCATGCAGTTCACACAGAGGTCATAAGAGGATATTGGATACTTGATCTGGAATTACAGATGGTTTCCAGCCACCTTGTGAACTGAACCCAAGTCTTCTCCAAGAAGAACAATTGCTCTTAACCACAGAGCCATTTTTCCAGGTCCAAATGATTGTAATTCATAGAAGAGTTTCCTGACACTGATAATCCTTTCCTGGTCCTTCATATAAATGCACGGTCCTATTTTTCACAAAGGTTCTGTGTATAAGATTACAATACTATCTTTAAGGAAACTATTTACCTGGATTATGATTTAGATACTTCATATGTTGCTAAATTGCAGTGGATACTATTGCTTAATGCATGAGTATATTTTTTAATATATTGGGTTATATGGAAAAATATGTTGTAGATTCCACATAATTTTTGAAAATCTACTGGTAAATGTGCAGCTCAATCATATTCCATTTACACAGAAATAATTATTTCCCAGGTTTGATAGCAAATACCACTAAAACAATTGCATTGTAGAGCCCCATGCTCCACCAG